CTGCCTCCTGAATGCTGGGATTAAAGGCATACACCACCTTGCCCAACTTTGTTTTTTTGTTTTTTGTTTTTGTTTTGTTTTGTTTTGTTTTGTTGTTGTTGTTGTTTGAGAAATGGTCTCACTCTGAAGCCCAGGCTAGCCTTGAATTCAACAGCAATCCTCCTGCCTCAGCCTCCTGCATGCTGGAATCACTATATCCAGCTTTTAGTTTAGTTTACTTAGTTGACAGGGTCTCACACACTGATGCCCAGGCTGCTCATGGCAGTCTTCTTACCTCAGCCTCATTTGCAATGACAGGGAATCATAGGTACAGATGCCGCCGTACCTGGCTTTTAGTTTAGTTTAAAATAATTTCAATTTGCAGAAGAGTTGCAAAAATAGTACAGAGAATTCTCAAATGCCCTTTATCCACATTCCCTAAATATTTGCATTTTGCCACATCTGTTTTGCCAGTCTCTTTTTGCTCTATCTATATGTGAATATGATTATTCTTTTTGGTTGATTATGGTGGTTATATTTATATTTTTATGTTTGTGATTAAATTATTTTAAAATATTGAATAATTCCAAGTTAATTTGATAGAGCAGTGGTCTTGGGCTTTTAAAAACATGCTGTTATTGATGAAAGACTTTTAAACAGTCCTTGTATATCTAACACACATGGCTACACATAAAGGATAAATTAGAGTATTTTCTTCTTGGTCTCCAGTGAGTAAAAGTAACACGGCCTTGTCTTCACCCAGATACTACTGGTATACAGAATTAAGTAGGCAAACTGTTAGAGAAAAGAGGGTTTATTTGTTCCTTTCTGTCAAAGTTTTGGTGGCTTTCTAGACTAAGATTATAGATCAGAAAGAAATGGCAACTTCAAGCCTGAACAAATTTGGCTGAACCTTCCTTCAGCTCTTTCTGATTTCACATTATCAAATTGGATGATAGATCATTAAGTCAAGTCAGATTTGTGTGTGCCAGAGCAGAAGGTGCCCAGCTGCTACCCTAGGCCATTTCCCATTCCTTCTCCCTGCAAAAAGTTGGTACTAGGAGGGAAAGTGCTTTGGGGAGCCTAAGCATGACAGTGATGATGTCTGCTCATCTCATAACTCCAGTTCATTCTTTATTTCACACCAACTGGAGAGGCCTATTTTTATTCTTTGCAGAGAATTTCTGTTTTGTCCGTGATTTGTATATGTGGGAAAACATTGTTCATCTGTATTGGCTCTCTTGATTTCATGTATTAGCAGTTAAAATCTATCTCTCCTCATTCACACACAAGTATATGTGTGTATGTATGTAGTACGCACATACATATGTAGGAACATTGGTTGCCAGCCCCATTGCATTGTTTGAGGAACTGTTGGTGCACAAGGGTTTTGGAGTGAGTGGGCATAAGGGATGCATGCTCCAAGAGAACTCCCATTAAGGGCTCCCCAGAGACAAAGCTTAACATTTTGATGCTATTCTGATTTCAAGAAGCCTTCCTGATTAAAATAGAAAGTTAGGGTGGGAGCTGGAGTATGCAAGATATCAAATGGAGTCACTAAAATTGAGGTTGTCTAATCCAGATTGTTCCAGTTCAGGAATCTTCTTTTAGCATCCCTGATAAGCCTCTCATCTCTCTCTGAGGTCTGTCACTTCCATGATATAGTTTGTTGTGGGCAATATTTGTTTCCTAACGTAATCAGCTTCATTTTCTGAAGCAGGTCACTCTGAAGGCTGTCCTCACTAAAGGGCTTACTAAGCAGCTGATCAGAGAGTAACAGTCAGAGCTCAGGGGTACTCAGCACCTTGTGCAGTTGAACAGTTTTCCAGGGTTTTGATTTCATTCTTCAGTTCTTACCCTGGTCTTAGAGAATAATTTTATTGCGGTTTCTCAGGAAATTCGGGATCAACCTACCCCTGGACCCAACAATACCACTCTTGGGAATATACCCAAGAGAGGCCTTATCATACAACAGAAGTATATGCTCTACTATGTTCATAGAAGCATTGTTTGTAATAGCCAGAACCTGGAAACAACCTAGATGCCCTTCAATGGAAGAATGGATGAAGAAAGTATGGCATATATACATATTAGAGTACTACTCAGCAGTAAAAAACAAGGACTTCTTGAATTTTGCATACAAATGGATGGAAATAGAAAACACTATTCTGAGTGAGGTAAGCCAGACCCAAAAAGAGGAACATGGGATGTACTCACTCATATTTGGTTTCTAGCCATAAATAAAGGACATTGAGCCTATAATTCGTGATCCTAGAGAAGCTAAATAAGAAGGAGAACCCAAAGAAAAACATATAGGCATCCTCCTGAATATTAACCTTCATCAGGCGATGAAAGGAGACAGAGACAGAGACCCACATTGGAGCACCGGACAGAAATCTCAAGGTCCAAATCAGGAGCAGAAGGAGAGAGAGCATGAGCAAGGAACTCAGGACCTCGAGGGGTGCACCCACACACTGAGACAATGGGAATGTTCTATCGGGAACTCACCAAGGACAGCTGGCCTGGGTCTGAAAAAGCCTGGGATAAAACCGGACTCGCTGAACATAGTGGACAATGAGGACTACTGAGAACTCAAGAACAATGGCAATGGGTTTTTGATCCTACTGCATGTACTGGCTTTGTGGGAGCCTAGGCAGTTTGGATGCTCACCTTACTAGACCTGGATGGAGGTGGGTGGTCCTTGGACTTCCCACAGGGCAGGGAACCCTGATTGCTCTTTGGGCTGATGAGGGAGGGGGACTTGATTGGGGGAGGGGGAGGGAAATGGGAGGCGGCGGCGGGGAAGAGATAGAAATCTTTAATAAATAAATAAATTTAAAAAAAACAAAACAAAACAAAAGTAAAATTGTCCGGGCAGACCAAGGTTCTCTCTCTCTCTCTCTCTGTGGTTCCTGTGCTACACAGCTGAGCCTGGGCTAATCATTCCTGTTTCATGAGTTTGCCCCTTATAATAATAAAAATAAAATTATAATTGGAAAAAAAAAAAGAAATGGCATAGGCTGGCAGTGTTTTAAGTAATAGTTCAGAATAAAAAGGTTTTGCTGGGCTTTGTGAAACATGTCTGTAATCCCAGCATTTTGCAGGCAGAGGCAGAAAAATATCTCACTCCACACCAGCATGGACCACAGACCCTGTCTTAACAAAAATAAAAACTGTGCTGTGGCAGAGTAGGATGACTAAAATAACAAATGATACACTGTATGTTTTAAACCACTGAAAAAGGGTTCTGACAGTTTTTCATGTAAATGACAAAATATTGAAGAAATAAACATGTTTTACTTGATTTAAACATGACACAGTGTATATATGCATTGAGACCCTGCTAATCTGTACGGTTTTATGCTTTTATGTATCACTTAAATAATGTTTTAAAAAGAGGAAATAAACTTACTGTATTAATAATTCACACTTTACCTACCTACCGCAAACAATTTGTGGATAAAAGATCTAGGCATGACATTATTTGTGTTATGATGGTAGGAAAGAAAAAAGAAATATGCCAGTTAATCTGTGTCTCCCGATTTATGACATTGGAATATGAAAAAAGTATGTTTTAAAATAATGATATATAATATTCCTGATGTTGCAAACAATGATATTACCAGAGAGAAGACATATTTTATTACTTCGTTGGGTATATGGTGTTCTTTCCATTTGGGTGCGGAAGTTGTTTGCAGTGTCTTGGTCGAAAACATATTTTAATGGTTGGTTGTCCCAAGCAGGAAGGGTAAAGGATGGGGTGACAGTTGTTTCTGTCTTGACTTTGACTGGAAATGCCATCATGGGCCAGTTGCTGGGATAGTGACTGTCCATGACTATACCTAAAGCCAGCTGGTTTTAATAATACTGAATTGTCTTAACTCAATTGGAAAAGAAGGGTAGCTGCTGTTGTTATTCTGCAGATCTGTTTAAGGAAGAATCTGGCAGGGAGCCTGAGACCTGTTCCTGGGAGAGCCAGGCAAGATGCTGCTGGGAGGAACAGTATGCACCTTTTTTTTTTTCCTGAGACCACTTCCTTTGAGATGTGGTCTCTGCTAAGAGTGTGGCTGACTGCTGAGCGCATATGAGTTGAGAAGTGTGGTGTGGTAGACCAGGAAGCCCCTGAAGCACACCTGTTAGCGGATGTGTCTTACTTAAATAGCCTTTGTTGTATTTAAAGAGGGAAGTTCACTAAAACTTAACCATGAAACTTCATGATTTCTGGTTTTACAAAATCAGACAAGGCAACAATACTGAGCCCAGCTTGTGGCTTAGTGATAGGTTCCTAATCTTCCTGTTTGCTGGTAGCCATTGCTCACCATGGCTAGCTACATGCAGTAGGCACTTGGAAATTGAGATAGGTCTTCATGGGAATCCTTAATAGTTGCGTGTCCTGGGCCTATATATTTAAATCTCTAGTCTCAGTGTTCTATATATGTAGTAATTCTTAACATCTTGTGGGCATGCTTGGGCCTGGTACCCAAAAAATAATAAAATGTGTGTTACTAACATCAGTTGAATTTATGATGGAGCTGGATGATAGAAGGAAAGGATTTTGCCAGTTATTAAGTGAGTCCTGGGTATACTCTTTCTCAAAAGAAGGGTGTGGTAGAGCAGGAGTGGAAAATGAGGGTGTGTGGACTGATGGTGTACAGGAGCCGATCGTCAGGGAAAATGTGTGATGGTCTCTGTGTATGCCTCGTTTTCCTCTCATGTTGCTTCTAGCCTCCTGTTTGTCTGCTGGAGGTACTGTAAAGAGATAGAAAATTATGTTTCTGATGCATTTGTGTGTGTCTTACCAGAGAACAGTATTCAGCATGATACAGTGGTCACATCCAGTATAGGAGCTATGTAGCTCTCCATTTATTAATATATCCATATAGTTAGATTATAAGACCCTAGATAATAGGTGCTAGCTGGCTGCAAAGGGGGACGTTATTACCTCTCCCCCACTTCCCTTATGATTGACCTCTGAGTTGGTAATTGACAGGGATTATTGCCATTTTTTTAATCTCTGCTAGGAGGCTGCTGGAGTCTTCCCTCATTTCATTATCCCGTTATGATGGAGCAGGATCCAGAGAGCACCCAATTTACCCAGACCCAGCGAGGTAAGGCCAAAGTGAGAAATGGCACTAGGAGGGGGGAGGGGCGGCCCTTGGGGTTGCCAAGTTGGGGGAAGCCCCACCCGTGCCTCTCTGGTCCTGGTGCTCTTTTGCAGTGTTACAGTGTTAAGGCAGGTGTTTCAGGTGGTTGGGAATTGTTGCAGGTAAGTGCACAGCTTCTCTCGTGACAGAGGACTCTAACTGAGCTCTAGTCCTTTGGGACTCACCATCTGTCAGTAGGTTACTGAAGGGAGTACTGTGGAGGCCATAGGTTTTCTTTCCTGCTGCTCCAGAAGCTGTTGCTCATCAGATGGACAGCCAAAAAGAGAGCCCAAGTTTCGAACATTTTATTTATAGGGAAAATACTTTTAAAAATTTAGAATATCAAAATCAAGCCAGTTTTGTTTGTTTGTTTTTCAAGAAAGGGTTTTTCTGTGGCTTTAGAGCCTGTCCTGGAACTAGCTCGTGTATACCAGGCTGGCCTCAAACTCACAGAGATCCTCCTGCCTCTGCCTCTGCCTCTGCCTCCCGAGTGCTGGGATTAAAGGCATGCACCACCAGTGTTTGGACACTATCCAAAAGAAGAGATGAAGGAAGAATAATTGAATGAAATAAGTTGTCATTTTATTGAAGTGATTGCTTTGTACTGTTTTAGAAGACATTTGAAACCTTATTGAAGATTATGTGTGTGGTGGGGAGTGTATTTGTGGTATGGGTACATGTAGAGGTCAAAGGAAGACTTCCTCTGTTGTTCTCCAAATTATTGTTGTTAAATTATTATTAATGTTTTGAGGTAGTATCTCTTACTGAATTAGAAGCTTGCCATTATATCTAGGCATATGTACCTGGAATCTACCTGTCTCCCTCCTGCAGTGCTGGGGTCGTAGGCACCCAAACCATGCCCAGTTTTTACATGGGTATTGGAGTGTTGAACTGAGATCCTTTTGCTTTTACAGCAAGCTCCCTATCCATCCCAACCAAATATTTTATTTCCCTAATCCTGAAATTTTTAGAAGTTGGGGCAGGGGAGGACATTTTTTTCATATGAGCTTAAGGAACTGTTCTAAATTCCCTGGTGCTGATGATGGTGTTAATAACAAAACCAAGGCTGGAATATTGAGTTGTTGTATTACAGTTATCAGGAGAAAGCAGCCCCGTGTGATTGTCATAATTGGATTTGATGACTGATAGAGATCTGAAAAGGGCTAACTTGACTATTATTTCTCCCAAGATTCTAGTGGAAAATAAACTTTCTGTGGCCCTCTTACTTTGTTTTCCATATCCTAGAATTAGCAAATCCAAGGATCTAAACAGTAGAGAAAAAAATAGGCAGGCAGTTCAGAAGCAAGGGCATTTACATCAGCCTGCAGTTCTGTTGGAGAATGTATGCGCCCTTGGAGAGGGAAAGGAAGCTGTCACATTTCTAGAGCCTTAGACACACAACACAACTTCTTGCTATGAAACACTTTCTTTTCAGGCTGACCATGGCAGTGCACCCCTTTAATCCCAGCAATCGGGAAGCAGACACAGGGGGATCTCTGTGAGTTTGAGGCTGGCCTGGTTTGCACAGTGAGTTTCAGGACTACTAGGACTATATAGAGAGACTGTGTATGTAATGTATCTCAAGAAAACAAAAACAAACAAAAAGTTTCTTTACAGACAGCAGTAGGAATCTTATCCTCAGAAATTTTAGACTGGGAAACTTCAATGATTCATTTTTCAACAGGGCCGAATCCACCCCCTGTATTGACCTGTCACTTCCTGTACAGCCAGTGAAGACTGGCCTCAAACGTGTGTCTTCCTGCCTCTTCCTCAGAATGCAGAGACTACAGCTGTTGTCCTTTCTTTAGAAGCTCATATTTATTCCTACTCTAATTTCTTTGGCTTCCTAACACTCGGAATACTCTGTGGTATTGAGAGTGCTCCAGCTCCTCAGCAGGAGGGCGCTGGTTACCATCTCGTCTCATGTTACTTCTTTTTTCTTCTTCTCTTAGTTATGTCTTGTATTATGGATAGGTCAAGGCTTTTACGGGACATTTTCCAAAGTATGCAGAAACCTAGTTTCCCCCTAGATACATAAGAGACAAAGTCTGTGATGTCAGAAACCTCTCCTCCTCCTTTATTTATTTATTTGTAACCACTGATAATATAGTTTCATAGTTTAGGAAATTCATATAGTAAAATTAAACAACTTGAATTAATGCAATGCTGTACACATAGGGTAGTCTTTATTCATTATCACCAGTAACATTTCTACTACAGTTATCAGTAACAATACATTTTTTTTTACTATTATTTCTGATTGTCCATAAATCTGAGAAATGGATATACTTTTGGTCTCATCCAGATTAGTTCTCTTGAAAATTTTCTCCTGTTACTATGTATTTTCTTCCCTGGTCTGATTCCTTTGAATTTAATCCAAGTTTGATTTCTACGGGAAGATTTTGATATATTAGCTAGCAATAAGAACAGCACAGAAACACTCACTTCTGTCCAAATTTTGGTGTTCAGTGATTGAAAGCTTGGCAACAGGTGCCCAAATGAGTAATGAAAACACCACGAGATGAGGCTTTGGAAATAGTTCGAGTTTTCCGATTATTTTGGTCTCAGCTTCTGTTTCTGTATGTCTCATGCCCATCTACTGTACAAAGGTAATTTGGATTCAGCATGCTCAGTGTAGCATATTACTTTAATCAAGAAACTTTGAGTTCCAATGATTACCAACCAACTCCTTAGAAATTTCATTTGATGACTGCCCTGAAGGACAACTTTGATAGGCCCCATTGAAGTTGACTGCAAGACCTCTTTTGGCCTAGGAAGGTAGAATTCCTGAGAACAGTATATCAAAGGTTCTGAAAGTCATACTGCAAGATGTCTGCAATTTTGGGGAATGACTCTCCTACTAATATAAATTGCTCAACTGGCCTCAAATTTGCAAGTCTCCCAGCCATAGTCTCAGCAATAAAAATTTTTCTGTCATTTAGATACAGTTATTCTCAATTAGTTTTTTAATATTCTCAATAAAAACAAGACACTTCTCTTTTTAATATCCAAACTTCATTAAAAAAAAAATCTCCCAGGTTTGTGGCTCTAGGTTTGTAACTTAAGGTTTATGTCTTTGTTTTTCCTTAAATACAGAAATATTTTTATATACATAATAATAAATATGTATGTATATGTGTGTGTGTATATGTATATATATATACATATACACACACACATATTCTCTTTCTTTAACCCTTTCCCTACCTTAAAACTTTGTTTTAGAAGAGTTTCCTTCTGAGTAAATGGAGATGATTGTTGTACACACACCCACTTTAAACTTTTGAGACAGGGTGTCATAGCTCAGGCTAGCCTCAGACTCAAGTAGCTGGAACTGACCTTTAACTCCTGATCCATCTGCCTCTGGATTCCTAGTCTTGAGATTATAGGCATGTGTCACTGTGCCCAGCCAAGTCTTCTTAGTGGCCTCCTAGTGCTCCTCTCTGTGGATGTAATTTATTTCCTCTGTTGCTGGGCTTCTGGCTTATTTCCTAGGCTTTCCCAAATGGTGACAATAATGCAAATGACCTTTCTCATGTATACATTCGTATTCTTCTGTATTTCTATGGGCTGTAATTTACTAGTGGACTTGGATCATTGTGTTCCTCAAATTTTAAGTCTTGCAGTTGGTTTAGCAGTCACTTAACATTATCATATAAGACATCATATAAGACATTTTGCTTTTGTTCTCACATGTTCTCAGTTTGTAGCCTCAAATTATAGAGCAGTTTTGTAAGATGGAGGAAAACTTTAAGAAGGGAAAAATGTGTATAGTTGTGTGGTATATTAGAAATTGTTAGAGAGCTGGGCAGTGGTGTCTCTGAGTTTGAGGCCAGCCTGGTCTACAAAGCGAGTTCCAGGACAGGTTCCAAAGCTATCAGAGAAACCCTATCTTGACCCCCCCCCAAAAAAAAGTTAGCAAGCTTTAAGGCAGGACCTTGGTTTCAGTTAGTGTCTAGACTGATGGTTTATTGGAACCCTAGCAAGAGAGATGTAGCCTCCATTGCTGTAATTCTAGGAAAAGGAAATTCTTTTTTCTGTTAGGTTTTTCTGTTCTCCCAAGTACACAATGACTCTCAATCCCTGTCCTGAATACTTTTCTGTGCACAAATACCTGTGATTAATATGTGAGGGAGGGAGATGATTATAAGGAACTAGGTGAAAGCTGGAACTGTGTGTTTGAAGAAGGAAGTACTGGTGAGAAGACCCATGAGTGTCTTTATTAATTATCTAGGTATTAACATCTTCTGGCCTGTTTTCTTATCTGTAAATGACCAGACTTGATTACTAAGGTCTCTTTCATTTCTTAAATTTTGTGGATTGTTAAGGAGCAAGAAAGAAATATTTAAGGACACCCTGAAAAGCTAAGCCAGGTTCCATAGAGGCTAAGATAGAAGAAAGGCCCAGTGCTAATCCTCTTGAGAAGGGGCCACACTTGCTCAGGAGATGACTGATTACACTGCTGTTTGCCTTGTCTTAGAACAGAAGCATTGGTGATAGTCTGGTACACATATTCTGCAGCACAAACCTCCTGGTCACTTAAACGGCCTGTTATTTTTGTGTATCCAGAATTTGTCTCAGCAGGGAGATGCTATGGGAGAGCTGGCTTTACTGTCTTTCACAGTATTCCCCAAATTAGTGCTAGTTTGTGTTTGTCCATCTCTGTCTCTCCCAGATTATCTCCTGCTGCATACTACGCCCAGAGGATGATCCAGTATCTCTCACGGAGAGACAGTATTCGCCAGCGCTCCATGCGCTACCAACAGAATCGTCTTCGTTCTTCCACCTCTTCTTCCTCAGACAACCAGGGTCCATCAGTAGAGGGAACCGACTTGGAATTTGAGGACTTTGAGTAAGTATATTCTCAGTTTGCTTCCTTCCTCTTTCTCCCAGTCTGAGAGTGCTTCCAAGTTGGCCACTGCTTTTGTAGCAGTGGTGAGTATTCTTGCTCCCAATCCTTTAGTTATTGCTTATGAGTTGCAAGCTGGGACAAGGAGCAGAGAGAGAGGCCTCCCAACCTCAGAGCACTCCTATTTCTGGCAGATGGATTGCTGAATCGCCAGAGCCTTTGGGAAAAGACAGCCTTTGGGCCCCAGCCTGATTGGGAAAGAACGACTGCTGCTCTCCTGTCTCCGTGTGGCCTGAATGATGGAAATGCTTCTCTTGGGCTATCTGCAGAGGACATTCTCCTCACTGGAGTAGATGTGAAGATTAAGTTTCATTTTAAATATTAGATTTCCTAGCCGGGTGGTGGTGGCACACGCCTTTAATCCCAGCACTCCGGAGGCAGAGGCAGGCGGATCTCTGTGAGTTCGAGACCGGCCTGGTCTACAGAGCTAGTTCCAGGACAAGAACCAAAGCCACAGAGAAACCCTGTCTCGAAACCCCCCCCCCAAAAAAATTGAATATTAGATTTCCTTAAAGTGAATCTTCTATCTCAGTAACCTGAATAAACTTAATTCTTTAAGGTCTAACTCTTTTGCCTCAACTTAATAGCCTTCTTGTTCCCCACCAGTAATTCTTTGAATGTCACCTTTTAGACACTCAGAGGGATTACTGGAGGGCCAGGAACATGACAGTAGCAGGTTGAGGAGTGACTGCTTTATGCTGTCGCCACCCTTTTCCCCATTGCTACCTCAGCTGAAGCTGATGCCACTGTCTCTCCTCCCTCCCTCCCCCCCTCCCTCCCTCCCTCCCTCCCTCCTTCCCTCCTCCCTCCCTCCCTCCCTCCCTCCTTCCCCCCTCCCTTCCTCCCTCCCTCCCTCCCTCCCTCCTTCCTTCCCTCCCTCCTTCCTTCCTTCTTTCCTTCTTTCCGTTGTTGTTGTTGTTGCTATTGTTGTTGAATGGGGTAGGGATGAGGCCAAATGAGCAGGAGCAGCCCCAGACTTCAGAGTCCATGCTTTCCAACCCCACTGCAGAATTTTACCTCTCAGACATTTTATTCCTGACCTTCTAACCATTTGTCGTATTGCCAGCCTGAAACTGGGTTTTCCTGCCTTGTATCAAATTAGACATTTGGCTTTTGTTTTGATTTTTGTGTTTTTCTGTTCTTTAATATACAAAAGAAAAAGAAGCATTTCCTTCTCCTTTTTGGCATTATTTGACTATTAGCACACTTTAGTAGGTCTGGGATCTTAGGAGTTGTTACGTCTCCCTAACCATGTCCCTCTAGTCAGCTGCATGCATGTATCCCCATAAGCTACCTTGTAATGGAGCTCTACGGTATATTTGGTCCCGTTGCAGAAAGGACTAGGATGAAGTGAAACAACCATCGTGCTGCTTGACTTCCTGAGGTTTTTGGTGAACACACCAACATTTGAATTCTGGGAAGCAAAAGGAAGAACATAGATTGGTCTGGAAAAGATTTAAATGTTGAGTAAATGCAAGAGTAGCATAAAGCAGGTGTGTGGTGGTCCTGTGTCAGCAATCACTCTCTGACCCTCAGCCTGCCATTTTCTCTATTTGTCCTCCTGGGCAAGATGACTGCATATAACAGTGAAATGAGCCAGACAGATGCCTGTAATGACATATGTTGTCTTGGGGATGTAATCATTTTTCTAGCACCAGGTTCACTCAGGGAAGTGGTTTAAACACATATGCTAATGGGCTTTGGATATAGTTCACCTGCTTAGCATGTGAGGTCCTGTGTTGGATTCCCCAGTACTGTAAACACATACACACAGTGGGGAGGGGGTTGTGGAGGAGGAAGAGAGGAAAGAGAGAAACGTATATACTGAGGTTGCTGACGTTGCAGTGCTGCTCAAACACCTGGGGGACTTTAGCTCATTTATCATATAGTGCTCTGGGAGTCAGGCTTCTGACTTGCCTAGCTTCTTTCCATGCATGCTTAGAAGTCTAAATTATCTGTTTCCAGTGGTGTGATGTGGGGATCATGCCTTTCAGCTGTACTCTGCCTCGTGACTTGTCCTTCATAATGGAGTTCTGGGTTAGTTTAAAATGTTCTGTTCTCATTTTACCTTCTCTTTCTTCTGATGCCACCTCCTCGCTCTCCCCTTTCTTCCCCCTCGATTTTCCTCTGTCAGACTGCCTTCTGTGTGTGCTTCCCCAGCCCACCTGTGCTCTCATCGTCTCCTTGGGCTTCAGCATGACCTCATTTTACATTGTCTTCTTTCCCTTTCCTTCATCAGTTTACCCCTCTAGGTGCCTCTATTAGCCAGGGTTAATTTCCCCAGTGCCCCACTCATAAGTCTTTTTGAAGGAAGGTAGTTCTGGTGCAAACCATGATCTACCTTAACATGAGTGGTTCAGGTCTTGTAGTGAAAACAGCTGATACTGACCTGCCATTTGTTCCTTCTTTTTCTATCTCCTCTGTCTTCCTCCTCGTCCTATAAGCTGGTCGAGTACTAGTTGTAGTTGCTCCTTTCAATCTCTAGTTTTAAGAAGAGGAAAGAAGGAGCTTAGGGAATGTAACACCTGTTCTAATTTATTTGCCATAATCCTATTCCTTAGCTTTGATACTGATAGTAAGGATGTTAATTTTTTTAAATATTTATTTATTATGTATACAATATTCTGTCTGTGTGTATGTCTGCAGGCCAGAAGAGGGCACCAGACCTCATTCCAGATGGTTGTGAGCCACCATGTGGTTGCTGGGAATTGAACTCAGGACCTTTGGAAGAGCAGACAATGCTCTTAACCACTGAGCCATCTCTCCAGCCCCCAGGATGTTAATTTTTAAATTAATTTTTATCTTACATGTGTGGGTGTTTTGCCTGCATTTATGTCTGTGTACCACTGTTTATCTGGTCCCCAAAGAGACCAGACAAGGGTGTCAGGTCTCCTGGAACTGGAGTTACAGACACTTGTGAGCTGCTGTGGAGGTGCTCACACTCCACCTTGTGAGCTGCTATGTAGGTGCTCACACTCAACCTTGTGAGCTGCTATGTAGGTGCTCACACTGAACCTGTAGTCTCCTGGAAGAGCAGCAAGTGCTCTTAACTGTTGAACTGTCTCTCTAGCCCTCAGAAAAAAAATGTGGGTGTGAGTGGACAGTAGTGGTTATATACAGTCATAGTTTATAGGTATTTTAGTACAGAGGAGCAGGTAAGGCTTATGTGATCTGGAATCTGCTTAACAGGACACCTTTAACAGACACTGTTCTGTTGTGTTTCCATACCTTCTCAGCACATCACAGTCCTGCCTATGGGGCCTTACATAGGCCTCTCTACTCTCCCTTTTTCTAAGTCATAGATCCATTCTACTCTTCTTTTGAACTTTTCATTCAGATGTAAAAAGTTGCCATGAACCAAATCATGTTTTCTTTGGTTCTCTTTTATCATCAATTGAATAAAAGGAATAAGCTACTATAGTATATTTTTCATATATATAGTTGTTATCAACTTGTGTTTATAGTATGTATGCCAAAGTGTCAACTTCATATCTATATATGTATATGTAATAATTTATGAAGTAGCCATACTTACATAAAAATGTAGATTATTTACATGTTTTTACATAGAGATAATAGATTTTAAATTTTTTGTTTAATCCTTATAATGACCAAACAACAGGGTTAATAACTCAATCTTATCTTATGTTCTCTGACTGAGGATATTACCATATTAGAGATATCTCAGATTAGAGAACAGGAATCAGTATATTTATTATCTTCAGATATATAAAGTCCTTTAACAGTGATATACAATCATATTTGGGCTCTTTCATACATTTTTTTGTGGAAGAAGACCTTTCCAAGTTATCTTCAGGAAAGGATGCCCTTGAAAGTTGGTCAGGTTAAAATTTCTATTCTTTGTAGTCTGGATTGGTGGCCATCTTCTAGGCAAGCATTTTCTCCTGCTGTTCATCTCTGTCTGTGGTAAGGATTGAAATGGCAGGATCCCAGTTTTTATCAAAATGTACAAACAGGACATCCAGAAACCTGCTGTCAGCAGGTCTATTCTAAAGTCCTTAGCCAGCTGTCTTCGCATAAAAATATTTACAAGCAGGGTAAAAGTGTGTCTGCCCATTGACATTACTGTCTTCCTGTGTTAGAGCTCAGACCGCTTGCTTGAATGTAGATATTATATAAGCATAGCAAAGCTCTTACTTTAATTTTCACCTTCCCTTTAGATAAGAGGACAGGTGACTCTTACAGAAAGACCAAGAAAAGTGCTTTGTTCCAGTAGTTGCTAAGGTCTGCAGGAGAAATAGTATGTATTTTTATTCTACTCTAGTTAGTCTTTAATTTTTAATAAAAAATTATTATTAGAAAGAAAGAGTGGGTTCCAAAGCTATGAGAAACTGTCTCGAAAAGCCAAAAAGAAAGAAACGAAAAGAAAGGGTCTGGGCCTTGTTGGTGCACGTATGCCTTTAATCTCAGCACTTGGGAGGCAGAGGCAGAGGTGGATCTCTGTGAGTTCGAGGCCAGCCTGGTCTACAAGAGCTAGTTCCAGGACAGGCACCAAAAACTACAGAGAAACCCTGTCTCGAAAATACACAAAAAAAAAAAAAAAAAAAAAAAAGCCTTGGTTAAGAAAGCCTACTTTGACAACTGATATAGAAGAACAGGTTGGAGAACAAGTCCTGTTCTCCAGGGCCTGAAGTCTGATGGCAAAGAAAATTGTTTAACGCTGACACTTGTTTAAGCCCTAAGGTTCTTGGGAACTCTCTTGATGTTAACTGTCTTAGAATGTTTTCCTTCATACTCAGCAAAGAGGGAGTAATGAAAATTCTAGGGAAGTGAGGAGACCTCTATTGGAGAAGGCTCCAAGCCTCAATATGCCTCAATATGCCTGTAGCTTTAGAAACCCTATTCTTCCTGAGCAGATAGAGTAATGGAGAAGAAGAAATGAAGAGAAGTGGACTATATCTAGGTTGTGCCTGGGCTGAACATGGGAGAATACAGAAGGAATGAATTTAAATACCCAGGAGGTACAAGGAGGAAGATATTACCACTTAGATTTATGTTTTTTATCAGGAAATACACAATAAGAATATAAATTTGCATAATGTAGGCAAATGAAATTAGGAGGTAGAAAAAGGGAGGACAAGAATTTGTAAATGAGAATTAATATTAATATTCTTTGGAGAAAAATTAAGGCTCTGCTGTTTTGGGAGACCTATACTGTTAGGTTTCTTACAAGAAATATCAACTGGAACAAAAGTTTAAACCCTGTGTCAGTGCAATCCCTAGAAATACGGACTGGGCCTAGAAGAAAAGGACTTGACCAAGATCAATGTGCATTCAGAGATAGGAATGCAAACTCTGCCTTTCCTGTCTGCAGAGGAGTACAAGCATGAGCAAAGGAAAACATGGTATTTGCTTTTAGACAAGGTTTTTTTGATCAACTGTACTGTCAGAAAGACAATGGCCTTTTGAGCTTTTTGATGCAAGAGATTTAGTTCCCAAGGCTCAGGTCAGAGCTGTTTGTCACTGAGGAACAATGACAACCTGTCTGTCTGGTCAGGGCTCAGACAACCGTCTGCAGGTGTATTTTTCTTTCCTTTAGATTATGTTTTTTTCTTTGAGGCCATAAATCCTAGACATTTAGCAGAATTGCCACTGTGTCTCTCCATTTTTCTGGAGATTTATTGTCTTTTATTAATGCTTGTCTTAGAAGCTTGTTTGTAGGATGTTTCTTTATAAAGTCATTTGTAACAAAATTTTATTCCCGCCCCCCCCCCCTCCAGTTCTCCCAGATACCCCTTAGAGAGTTAATCAGAGATACACAGAGTTCAACAACTGGGAAAGCCATTAATAATGCAGACAATTTCTTTCCTGCTGGCTTAAAGACAGCTTCTGGCTGTTACAATTGATGAGGATTTCTCGGGTGTTCCCTTAAAAAGTACTCCTTGGTAGAGAGACAGCACTAACATATTTGTGTACTCTTTTCTTCACTTTATTCCCATTAAGGTTGTTAGCTATTTTATGGTAGATCCCAGTACTTAGCAGTCACCACCACTGCTAAGGTCAGCCTGCAGGGTCTGCTCATTTGGCACCACATTGGGTCTCTAGTTGACATCTTTCACTGCCTTCTAGCTCATGCAGATTGCTTTCTGTCGAGCTGCGTTAGCTCCTAGTCTTCTGAATGTCATTATTTTAAGTGTTTCTAATTCCTTTGGTCTTTTCCTGGATCTCTCTTACCATTCTCTCGTTCTCCCAAATTTCCTATGCACTGAACTTGTTTTCCCATCACCAGTCATCTCCAAACTCCCTCCTTATAAGCAGTAAAATCAGTTGTTCTTCCCACTTCAAGCTTACTTGAAACTGCCTTTCTCTGTGAAGTTTGTATGCTGTACCATTTTTCCCCCTGTCTTGTCACCCAATTTGGGTTTTGGTCATTCTGATCATTGCTACCTTGACACATTCTTCTTTTCAAGGTTTTTCCTGGTTAGTAAACATTTGAGCTGCTTGTTTGTTATGCTATTTTCTCTTAGAGGATTTTGCTTGTTTCTCCCTCAGACAGTATTCATTTGTATGTTTCCCACGTTTCATATTTCCCTAATTGTTCTGGTTCTTGTCCTGTTGTTTTTCTGTTGCTAGAGTCCTAACACTTTGAGTTAAGAGGTTTATCTGCATGGTATTGAGATGCTCTTCAGGTCCTGCTTACCCATCCTTACCCAAGATGCTAAGATGCAGACCAATAGACATCTCTACTCACTTGTATGTTATTCTTCTGTGGTGCCATCCATTTGAGAGTTTGCTTATATCTGAGCCAGCTTTGCCTATTGTCTGGCTGGCCTCAAACCTTTCACTCCTCCTACTTCAGCCTCCTGAATGCTATATGTGTGTCACCATACCTGACTTGAGGCTATTTTTAATTCTCCTTTATATTATATCATGTTTCAATAATCACCAAACATTTTAGAGCTGTTATTACCCCTGCATTTTAGCCCCTCTCCCCTTTTCTTTAATTTGTGTGTGTGTTGTGTTTCTACATTAAATTACTTACTATTTTAGCTCGCTCTCATTTAAAATGGAAAAATACAGTTTTTAGGTTTTAAAACAGCACACAGGGGTTTGTGCTATGTATTGTAGGGTCAGGCTTCTCCCCCCTCACTGTTGTCACTTGTCATCTCTCACAAGCTTTATGTCATCTTAAAGCATTGGCACCTCGCTAGTACTGTGTAGTGCCTTGCCCTTCCCATCTGTTAGTCCAGACTGTATTCCATGGTACCATGGATCTATGGATGTGTAGAAGCATGTATCAGATCCCAGAGCTATGGCACAGAATCTGCCTGGTAGTGCTTCCTTTTAGCTTTGTTTTCAGTCTTCCTGAAGCCTGGGACCTCTCTCTGTTGTCTTCCTGGGACACCTTTAAACTTGAAAATGTTTCTAACTCCTTTCATGAGAGTTTGTTACATTCAGTGATAAATACACAACAGTGAAAAGCTATCATGATTTTAGTTGTACTTTTAAATTGATTAATACTTTAACTGATCACAGCCAAAATCACATATTTGAAAAATAACAATATGTTTAGTTTGAGAGCTATCTTGTTTGTTTAATAATCAGCTTCTTTGTGTGTATGTGGGAGGAGCTCTGCAATCGTCATATTTTATTGGTTAACCACTTCTGATGTGTGTGTGTATGTCCATGCGTGTCTGTGGGGTGTGTGCGTGTGTGGACATGCGTATCTGTTGGGTGTGTGTGTGTGTTTGGACATGCGTATCTGTGGGGTGTGTGTGTATGTGTACGCGTGTCTGTGGTGTGTGTGTGTGTTTGTGGACATGCGTGTGGACATGGTGGGAGGGTAAACGTGTGTGGACTTGGCTTGAAATTAATGCTGAGTATCTTTCTTGATTGCTCCTTCACTTAATTTCTTAAGGCAGGTTCTCTTGGTGAACCCAGAGCTCCCCGATTCTGTCTATCCTAACTAGATAGCCAGCTTTTTTGGGGGATCCCCTGTCTTCCTTCTAAAATTACAAGCTGCTTCCATGACAGCCAAGCTTTTATATGAGTTCTGGGAATCAGAACATCAGTTTTGGTGCTTACATGGCAAACTATATACCATGATCCATCTTTCCAGACCCCCATTCCTCTTATAAATTATTTTTTACCCTACCTTCCTTTTACTGCCTATGTAATCTTACATCTTTCTCCTTATCTTTTCTTTTATCCCTAGAGTTTCAAGTCAACAAAATACAATATCTTAGGAAAACAGTAGCACACTTTTTTGGTTGGTTGGTTGGGTTTTTTGAGACAGTGGTTTCTCTGTGTAGCTTTAGGGCCTGTCCTGGATGGAACTAGCTCTTGTAGGCCAGGCTGGCCTCGAACTCACAGAGATCCACCTGCCTTTGCCTCCCGAGTGCTGGGATTAAAGTGCCACCACCCAGTGATGTACCTTTTCTTCAGGGGAAAAAACCCAAATACTGATTTCTAATAAATCGGCTTTCAAGTAGCCTTAATATTGATTGCTCTTAATGCTTAGAAGCCTATCCTACCTAATGTAAAACCTTTAAAGACTTGTTTCTGGTTGGTACAACTCCCAGTGGGCCACTTAAAAGCCAAATTGTTCCTTTATCTTTGCTTCTAGGACTAGTTTGAAGATTATCTCATGATCTGAAGGTAATCCAAAGAGAGAATTCAGATGTCCCAAATCAGGCTCTCAAAGATTCATTTATTTCCTGGAGTTGTTTAAGCAGATAATGAGCTGCTTGGTCCAGCCCATGCCCTTTGGCTTATTGTTTCTTTGATGTGTTGGAAACTTAAGCCACGTGAAGTTTCTTTCCTTTTTTTTTTTTTTTTGTTTTTGTTTTTGTAGGAAGCAGTGAAACACAGTGAAGGAGCCCAAGGTTTAAGTCAGCTCTTCTTTAAATCCTCAGTCACATCTGATTCTTAGTTTTTCTATGTAAAATCAGACTGGTAATACCTCATGGGATAGCTAGAGAGATTTCAGTAGAATGACATTAGCAACATTTGAACTAACTTAGCAGGTACTTCATTTTATTAGTGTTGTTTCAATAATCTATACTTTTTTTAAAAAAAAAACTCAAATGACTTGGTTTAGGAGTATATTTCCTAATATTTTTCATCACTGTCAACTTTTCAGTTTTTCAAAGAACTAAGGATTTTTTTCTTGTTCCTGTTTTTCCACCTGCTTGCCCTTTTGTGATACTAAAGGATGAGCCAGGTAGGCAAGAACTATGCCACTGAGCTGCGTCTCCATCTCCTCAGCCTCAGTCTCTATCAGTCTCTCTTTCTGCCAAGGGAATCTGATGAAGGAAATGACATTCTTGGACCAGATGTGGTGGTGCACACCTTTAGTTCCACACTCTGGAGTCAGGGACAGGTGTTCTCTATGAGTTTGAGATCAGCCTGTTCTACATAGCGAGTTGCATGACAGCCAAAACGTAGAGCGACTCTGTCTGAAAAATTAAAGAAAACAAAAAGACATTTTTTTGTTTGTTTTTCGAAAAAGGCATTCTTATATAGCCTTTTCAGATCCCAAGACTTTACTTTCAGATATTTCAGGGTTCAAAGAGTATGACTCAAGAAAATTCTTTGAGAACGACCTGAGGGTATTGACTAGTTAGCCAACAGATAACTGCTGTCTTTGGGCGTCTCTCCTGAGTGTAGCAGTTTAGTTTGCAGATGCTTGTGTTGGGTGGCAGGTGAGTGATTTTGCTTCAGTCACTGTCTAATGTGTAGTCTTTCTGTTTTCTCCAGGGACAGTGGTGACAGATCTCGGCACAGAGCTCCCCGCAATGCCAGAATGTCTGCACCTTCACTTGGACGCTTTGTCCCAAGGTAAGAACTGGGTTTTAAGCATAGAAGGATCCTTGATGAAAGCCTAGGATTTCATTTTTGTTTGGTTTAATTGGGCCATGGCACAGGCTAGAACAGTATTCTGTCACTGAGCCACACCACCCAGACCTTTAGAATTTAGCTTAACTTATGACTTTTGGATTTTCCATATATGAAATTATTTCCTAAGAGTTTGTATTCTAGTCTGCCACCGTTTAGGGGGAGATAGTTAGACACAGTACATAGAAATATGGCACCAAAAGTATACTGCTCAAATGTAGAAGTCTTGTACAGTCTTATTATGTTACTCTAACCGGCCTGGAACTCATTATTAGACCAAGTTGGCCTGTAACTCAGAAATCTGTCAGCCTCTTCTGAGAGTGCTGGGATTAGAGGCATGTGTGTGCCATCACACCTGGCTGGCTTTACTTTAGAAAAAGGATGGTAACAAGTCACAGATTTACAAAAGGACAAATCCTGTTGTTGTTGTTGTTGTTTTGTACCTTTTTGAGCTTCTATGGATTTTTAGGTTAGTCTATGCTTTAGGCTATATTATGTTACAATTTATGTTCCTGAGCCAAGTCTGACCTTGAACTTGTAATCCTTATGCCTTAGCCTCCCAAGTGTTAGGATTCTAGTTGTACACCATTATGCCCAGCCTTACTTAGCGATGACTTTGAGACTCCGTGATCGTCTGTAGTTGACTTCTCACGTGTGATCCCGTCTTACAGGCGTTTTTTGCTGCCCGAGTATTTGCCTTATGCTGGGATTTTTCATGAACGTGGACAGCCTGGCTTGGCTACTCACTCTTCTGTTAACAGGGTACTAGCAGGTAAGGAAACATTTCTTTGGATTTTAAAATTGTGAAAGACAGGCTGCTAAAACTTCTTCCTCTTTCCTCTCTTTTGATATGATCGTCTCTTAGCGTCTGTCTAAACATCTGTTGGGTCCTATATGCAGTTTCTTACTTCCAGGCAAGAATCGGTAGGGATGAGACACTGTTTCTCCTGTTTAGTCCTTCAGGCCATTTTGTAAAGAAAGGGGAAAAAAAAAAGGAAGGAAAATTTTAAAACCTTCCATATCTTAATATAGAATTGGTTATTTTGGTTATTTTATATAACCAAATTCTGGCTGTCTATACTTTTTAATTGAATGATAAAGGTATCTTGTGATTTTAATTAAGAGCTTAATACACACCTCTCCACCTCTTTGCCTCGCCAGCACATGAAGATTCCATTGTCTGGAATTTTATGAGGAAGGAGGCGAGGAGACTTGTGGAGCCTGCTTAGAACTCCACATTGCAGAAAGTAGGCTGGGCACATGCTGCTGAGGTGGTTGATGAGTGAATTTCCTAAGTGATCCATGCTTTGGGGCTCTGAGGCATGATGGGACCAGGTTCTGGGACATGTATGCAGCTACTTCTAGACAGTATCCAGAAAAGGGAACAAAACAGAAATCTATTTTTTTTGGGGGGGGGGGGTGAAGGTTGTTTCAACATTACATTTTTTTACCCCTTCCCATCACTTTCACTGCCAACTTAGAAAAATTATGTCTGAAAATGTATAAAACTTCAGTTGTATTAGGCATATCTTGAAGAGGTCTTTGATTAGAAAATTTTAAATAGCACCCTGTTTCCTGAAACCCTGGGTCATGTATTGGTTAAAGGTAGAAAGGCAGTTGGTGGGGGCTGGAGAGATAGCTCATCAGTTAAGACCACTGGCTTTTCTTCTGAAGGACCCGCGCTCAATTTCCAGCACCCATATTGCAGCTCACAACTGTCTGTGACTTCAGTTCCAGTGTACCTGAGATCTTTATACAGATATACATGCAGACAAAACACCAATACACATTTGTTTTTTTTAAAAAAAAAGGCAGCTGGTGAGAAGATGGCCCTGAAGGACTATGAAAGTAGTGTATGCTATTCGCTTTGTTTTAGGCTTCTTTTTTCTTTCTTTCTTCCTTCCTTCCTTCCTTTCTCTCTCTCTCTCTCTCTCTCTCTCTTTTCTTTTTTCTTCCTTCCTTCCTTTTTTTTTTTTTTTTTTTTTGGTGGGGGTGGGAGCAACACAGTCTTACCATGTACCCTAGCCCTGGAATTTGCTATGTAGACCAGGCTGACCTCTCCCTCCCAAGTGCTGACGTCACAGGTGTAAAAGTGTGCAGCCCCAAACCCTGATATTTTAGGGAACTTTGTTTTGAGACAAGGTTTCACTTGTATCCTTGAAGACCAGGCTTGCCTTGAATTTAAAGATCTGCTTGCCTTTGCCCCCAGAGGCAGGGATTAAAGGCCTGAGCCACCAGGCCTAGCTTTGTTTTAGTATTTTAAGAATACTGCTGTGGCAGCTGCCAGTCCATGGGATCTGATCCTCCCCAAAGTAATGCCTTTGACTTAGCATCGAATTTTCTTTCTTTCTTTTTTTTTTTTTTTTTGGTTTTTTTTTTTTTTTTTTCGAGACAGGGTTTCTCTGTAGCTTTGGAGCCTGTCCTGGAACTAGCTCTTGTAGACCAGGCTGGTCTCGAACTCACAGAGATCCGCCTGCCTCTGCCTCCCAAGTGCTGGGATTAAAGGCGTGCGCCACCATCGCCCGGCTCTTTCTTTCTTTTTTTAATCTATTTATTTATTATATATACAGTATTCTCGGTATTCTCCATGTATGCCTGCAGGCCAGAAGAGGGCACCGGTTCTCATTACAGATGGTTGTGAGCCACCATGTGGTTGCTGGGAACTGAACTCAGGACCTTTGGAAGGGTAGACAGTGCTCTTAACCGCTGAGCCATCTCTCCAGCCCCAAGCATCGAATTTTCAAATGCCACAGCGCTCAGGCATTTCTCTGCCAGACACTAGAACTTCATGGGTCTTATCTCCAGACAGCGGTCAAAAGAGGGCTCTGGACCTAGTTGTTAAAGAGAATGGATTTGTGCCTCTCTTTGCCTGACACTGCTGTGTGGCTTAGCCGAAGGCTTGTGAAAGATAACCATTTGCTGCCAGACAATGATGCCAAAGAGCTCCTCTGCCCCCTTCTTTGTGCCAGACATCTGCCTCCAGCACGCAGCATGGCACATCTTACTCTTTGTTTCCTTTGTGTTAAGCCATGTGTGTGTGCGTGTGTGTACACACAGCTGCATAGTTTATTTCTGTTCTGCCTTTGCTCTAGTAATTCTGTACTTTTACTTTTCATTCCCTACTTTCTGACTAGTGTCTAGGGTGCTTTTTCTAGCATTTTATCGGATGTATATAGGTATGACATCTACTGAGAGAATTTATCTATCAAATGATTGTTAATGGCACCAAGAGAAGGAAGTCTAGACTTCTAGGACCTCATGCCTGTGTTAGCAGTTGTTTCTGTTCATCATTAGTATTTGTTTTCTCAATAGCAATATGAGTATGCCTATTGTGACTTCCTATGAATCTGTCTTCATGAGTGCATACTTAGATGTCCCTCCATAGTCTGTTAACAGCTGTGTCATTTTTTTCTTTATCTTTCCTTTAGAAAATTGCAGCATTATAATAGTAACAGCAACAAAAATCCAGGGGTGTTACTATGTTCTAGGAAGCATTTTAAGTACTTTAGGAAAATTTTGTTTCAATCCTACAGTAGTTCTGAGACAACTGGTATTATATAATGAGTGGTGGAGGGAACACCGGTGACTCTGGATAGGCCTTAGCCGTAAAGCTGGAAAGTAGAGGAGACAGACTGAGCCCAGGCAGTGGCCTCCAATACTTATACTCCAAGTTACTTTCCTAGTCTGCCACCCCATAGTTATTTTTTTGTTTTTTTGTTTTTTGTTTTTTTTTTTTGTTTGTTTGTTTTTTTGTTTTTCGAGATAGGGTTTCTCTGTGGCTTTGGAGCCTGTCCTGGAACTAGCTCTATAGACCAGGCTGGTCTCGAACTCACAGAGATCCGCCTACCTCTGCCTCCCGAGTGCTGGGATTAAAGGCGTGCGCCACCATCGCCCGGCCCATAGTTATTTTTTTTTTTTTTTTTTTTTTTTTGGTTTTTCGAGACAGGGTTTCTCTGTGGCTTTGGAGCCTGTCCTGGAACTCCATTGTTATTTTTAAAAGACAAAGCAAGCCAGGTGGTGGTGGCACAAGCCTTTAATCCCAGAACTTGGAGGCAGAGGCAGGCAGATCTCTGTGAGTTCAAGGCCAGCATGGTTTATAAGAGCTAGTTCCAGGACAGGCTTCAAAGCTAAAAAAAAAAAGACAAAACATCAAAGTAGAATTCCTATTTCAAGGACTTTACACAGAAGACAGAAAGGGCTCCCAGGGATCTTTCACTGATCTTCAGGGGTTTTTTGTGTTTTCCACTTTTTCTGTTTTAAATGGTGGTTCCTAGGCATGACCCTTTATATCTGAGTGGTGCTTGATGAGGGAAATCTTATAATTAATCTTATTAATAGCCTTTTTTTTTTTCTGAACCTTCTTCTGGATATAGATGTTTTTGTTTTTTTCCTCAAACTTACTTGTGATCATGTAATTAAGGTGCTATAATAATGACTTTCAAGAGTGCAAGTGAAATTGGTCTTTTAATTTTCCTGGAAAAATACTTTCTCTTCTCTGATTGCAACAAGACTGTGGTGGTCTCAAAACAGTTACATTTGGAAATACTTATTCTGAAGTTGCTCCAGTGCAGGCAGTGTCCCCGCCCTCCTTGCAGTCTTGGTGGGAGGTCGTACCTTACAGTGCTGCTCATTTTCCGATTCCCCTCTGTATGGGGAGTGACTTTTTGCAGAAAAATTTGGCAGATGTAGAAGGATAAAACGAGCACACAACTGCAGTCTCAGGATTTGTGACCAGTACTGTGGTGACAAATGAGTCTCTCAACAAATCTATTCTATCTGTAAAAGTAGATTTGTGCAAAATTAAGATCCTTTTAATCTGCTTTCTCCCACCAAAGCCTGGAAGTGATTGTAGACAAATGAAGCCATTGCACCAGAGTGCTAGTAGGTTGTTAATCTTTATTTCTTCTCTTTTGTCTTGGTGCAGTCTCTATAATTCTGTAGATTCCTACTGGTCTCCAACCACCTATCAATGCAGTGTAGCACAGATTCTGGACACATACATACTTAAAGAAATATATATACCCTTAAGTGCTGTTGCATCTCTAGCACATAGATTGTAGCATTCTAGAAAGCTCTCCCAGCTGACTCTTTTTAAATATTTTATTTATTTATTTATTTATTTATTTATTTTACAATATTCTGCCTGTGTGTCTGCCTGCAGGCCAGAAGAGGGCATCAGACTCATTTCAGATGGTCATGAGCCACCATGTGGTTGCTGGGAATTGAACTCAGGACCTTTGGAAGAGCAGGCAATGCTCTTAACCTCTGAGCCATCTCTCCAGCCCTCCCAGCTGACTTTTTAGCAAAGAATGTAATTAAGCTAGCCACAGCCTCGGTGGACTAGGTGTATTCCTTAGTACTTTACCTTACACTATCTCTGTAAACCCTTGTTCCTACCCTGTGTAATAGATACTAGTGTTAGCACTTCTACCTGGCAGGTGAGAAAACTGAAGCTCAGAGAAGTTAAGTCATTTGCCCAGCATAATATTAGGAGAAGGGAGAGTTGGAAGATTAAAACTGATCTGCCTAACTCTCTGTTGTCTGAGCCACTTTGCTTGAGTTCAAGTAAGGAGTATCTACCACAAAGTTCTTAAGCTTGTAATAGTTTTTGACATGTTTGAGGCCTCAGAGAAGTGAAATGAGAACTCTTGGCATAGGATTAGCTTACTGTTAATTACTTGAACAAAAATCTTCTGAAGATAAGGTCTGAGTAATGTAGGGTATGTTATCTGCCCTGCATAATCCTCTTGACTTTCATCCTAATGAGCATCT